CCGGGGGCAGTGAAAAGGAAAAATGACAAGGACAATCTCTTTTTTCCTCTTTCTGTAAGGATACAAATATGTCTCAAATATGTTTGCACATGTTTGGGAAGTACGATTAAATAAGGTTGTATTTTAAGGCTCCTGGTGCTTGATGTCATGGCCCCAAAGAAGGCACTGTGTGCTGCCACAAAAGCACTTTCTGATATACAGCTAAAACAATATTCTCTTAATCTACAACTAAACAGCATATTTACATTCACTAAAATTCAGACTAGGGTCTCTTGATTATCCGAGTAACAGTAACATCAGTCTGGAAATGTTTTATAGTGCTTTCTCTGGATTTCTATATTGACATGTTGGATAATTAAAACATTCTGATGCAATCACAGAATAACAGAATATTCAAGGTTGGAAGGGACCTCTAGAGATCATCTAGTCCAACCTTCCTGCTCCAGCAGGCACACCTACAGCATGTGGCACAGAGTGGCATCCAGGTGGGTTTGGAAGACCTCCAGAGAAGGAGACTCCACAACCTCCCTGGGCAGCCTGTTCCACTGCTCTGTCACCCTCACAGGAAAGAAGTTGCTCCTCACCTGAAGATGGAACTTCCTGTGCTCCAGCTTATGGCCATTACCCCTCGTCCTATCACTGGCCACCAGTGAGAACAGCCTGTCCCCTTCCTCCCTGCATTCTCCCTTCCTGAACTTATACACATTAATCATATCCCCTCTGAGCCTTCTCTTCTCCAGGGAAAACAGGCCCGGCTCACTCAGCCTCTCCTGTACGGGAGATGTTCCATTCCCTTAATCATCCTGGTTGCCCTTCTCTGGACCCTCTCGAGAAGCTCCACGTGCCTCTTGTCCTGGGGAGCCCAGAACTGCCCTCAATACTCCAGGTGCGGCCTCCCCAGAGCTGAGCAGAGGGGCAGGATCCCCTCCCTCCACCTGCTGCCAACATCCTCCTGATGCAGCCAGGATCCCATTGGCCTTCCTGGCCACGAGGGCACTGCTGCCTCATGGCTAACTTGGTGTCAACCAGGACTCCCAGGTCCCTCTCCGTGGAGCTGCTTTCCAGCAGGTCAGCCCCTATTCTGTCCTGGTGCCTGGGGTTATTCCTCCCCAGGTGCAGGACCCTGCACTTGTCCTTATTGAACCTCATGAGGTTCCTCTCTGCCCAACTCTCCAGCCTGTCCAGGTCCCTCTGGATGGCAGCACAGCCCTCTGGAGTGTCGGCCACTCCACCCAGCTTGGTGTCATCTGCAAACTTGCTCAGAGTGCACTCAGTGCCCTCGTCCAGGTCATTGATGAACAAGTTGAACAGCACCGGGCCCAGTACTGACCCCTGGGGGACACCACTGGCCACAGGCCTCCAACTGGAATTGGCCCCATTTATCACCACCCTCTGAGCTCTGCCATCCAGCTAGTTCTTGATCCACCGCACCTTGCACTCATCAATATCTTTTCAAAAAGTTAAAAGCAAAAACTCTGAAAAAAATGGACATTTGCAGCCATGCAATCCTAACTTCATACCTATAAATATCTGAAATATTAATACTTTCATCAGTATGTACTTTGTAAGATGTTTGGCTGTGTACAATGTAGGGATCAGCATCTGTCAATAAATGCTTTTATGAAACTATAACAATATGATTGTACACAAATGTGGTTAGAATGTCATATGCTTGTTTGTTTGATCATCGTCTTCAATTTGAATCTTTATCTTGACCTGGTTGTTTGTGATCCCAAATATAGCTTTTTGGTCTATCTCGCTCTTTCATTGATATGTCAAAGACAGTACTTAATAGCTCCTTATTGTTTCTTTATTGTGAACTCTCAATGAAGTTTTAGGCTTTCTTATTCATGTTTTTGTTAAGGATCGTTGTGTGAGCAAGGTATAATGTTTCCTTTCCATGTTGACAAAATACAGTATGCTTGTAGGTTTTTCCTTCTCTCACAAAAAAAAGGCAACGAGGCAGTGTTCATCGGAAGGCTCAAACCACAAAACTCCTGTGAAAGAGACGTTTTGTTAGTCTCAGGTAGGAGGACTATTATAATAAGCAAATTGTCACACCTACCATTTACCTCCTGTAAACTATCACAAAAAGATGCAAAAATACTATGCAAATGATCTGTTAGGATTATTACTAGATCTAAACTGGAGTCTTTTTTATTGCTGCCTCACATAGAGCCAGTTTGGAGTTTTACAGCAGACTGCCCCTTAAAAATAAGTTCGCATCCATAGTGAGTTGTATATGTTATCTCACGTTCTTGCTGTTACAGAAGATTAGATATTCTATTTACTGGAATAATATTATTTAAGAATAGATATGTCTAGTCTCCAGACTTGTGAAAAAAAAAAAAGGTAACTGCATGTAACATAAGCTGTGCATATATTATTCACGTGTAATGTAATGTGATGACTTGCATGCAAAATATTATTTTCTACGGTTGTTTTTAATGCTGTCCCAAAGCAAGACTGCATATGTCATTATAAGTTGTTTATTCAAACTGTAAATTCACAAGGGCTTTGTCTTTAATGTCTATGTACTCTGTTTAAAAGGCACATACATAATCAATCTTATCAATACTGACATATAGTTGTCTGAATCAGGATGTCAGTTTTGAGTATATCTTTGATCTCTCTTGTTTCAAGGGATCAGGTAATTGGTAGTTCTGCTTCTGCACTGACAGGTAGCTAGGAACTTCTTTTGGTTTTGGTGAGTTGAGGGGAATACAAAAAAACAAAATGTCTTTTTTTCATTTTGAAGATGTATCTCTTTAGAGGGGAAGGAATGAGTGTTGGTTTTAGACTGCATGGCAACATTGGAAATTCATCAGCTCCAAAGGGAAATGTAAATGAAATTATTACTGCATTGCCATGTTTTTCTCCGATTTTAGTCACATACATGGGAAAAATCAGAGAAATGTAAATGCTGCTGCATAAAAGAAACCTACCCTTGTGCCTCGTATATTTCTGAGGTCACATGCAGAGGGAGACCTTGCTGCCGTTCTGGTGTCTTTGCTTAAGACCTGGAGAGACAACTCATTTCCCTCACTCATGAGTTGGGGGCTGTCCTTCCTTGTGATGACCCCAAGCTCTGGGGTATTGGAATTAAACCCCATGCACTTTTGGCAGGCCAGCATTCCTGTAACAATTTCATGTGCAGACTTTCAGTTTTCTGCTTTCTGATTTTTTCCTGCAATGCATAATGGGATATATTATAAAAAATAAACTAATGTGGAAGCTGAGGGTCACATTAACATATCCCCCACCCTTTAGGGGGAAGAACCTACTGGTGGCATTGTAGAGTCCAGGAAGACAGGTTGGTGGTTCCACTGCAGAGCTTCCTGATCAATATAGACTATTGTCTAGAGCATCATGTTTGCGAGACATGTCTCAAGTCTCAAGGTTTATTCACACTTTTGCATTCATTCATACTGCACCAAAGGTCATAGAGAGTAAGTAGTGGCGGTTTTCTTATGCATATTAATCACAACTTTTTTTTTGTCATCATAGTGAAACTGAAGGGAACTGCTTCAGAGGTAGCTCAGTATGAGTCTAGCAACAGGAGTGATGAAAAAATACTGTAAAAGGGGAGTGGGATCAGAAAATTTCTATTCTGGACCCTGGGGCAGAAGGTTTCTGGAAGCACTGAAGACTGTTGGCTTCGAGCATTACAGACTTGTTCTTTCCTGATTCATGGGGCTCTTCCTGCATTGTTTTGTAAAATTAACTACTGTGCCTGTGGTAGATCACTTTATAAAATGTGTAACGAGGCACCACAAATACTGCCTCTAGAAAACAGCTGTGAGTATTTTCTTGATCTTTGAAAAAATGAATATGATATAAAACCGAAACTTCAAGTCAAGAGTACCTGTGATGTAATTTTCTAAGGGAGAGTTATTGTGGTTCACAATTACTGTGTATAGGTAGGTGTGGTTATAAAAATACTGCTGAGTTTCTTAACTGGAGCATTTTTAAGTTTTAATTATGTTTAAGTTTAACTTAAAACTAATTTTTAAGTTTAAATTATGGATTACTTGTCAGATTAGTACAGTTCAATGCAACTGAACTGTGCATTTATATTTGGGTTCATTTTGTAATGCTAGTGTATATTCTGGAGGAATATCAAATCCTAAATCAGTTTCCAAAATCTGTGTCACTGCCAACATTGTTCTGAAGGATCTCTAAAAGTATACATGGATTTTGGGAGGAAAACTGCATTACATTTTCTGCCTGTTATAGATATTTCTGAAACACCACACTAGGTTAATGTTTTATCATTTAAGATTCCAAGGAAAGAACATTATTAAAGAAGAAAGCTTGATTTTCTTTTTCTTTTTTTTTTTTTTTTTTTACATCATTGAAAAATAGATTTTTGGAGATCTTTGGCACTGATAAATATTGTTGAACTCACCAGAAGCTGCGCATAGTCAAGACATTTATCACATCAAGTGTCATTTATGCAAAATAAATACAATATACTGGAGATCTACATTAAGAAGAAAAAAAGGTTTTAACTAAACCATGAGCGTGTGTGTTGACTACAGAGCCTCCAGCTTTATAACAGTGGGAAACTAAAGACAATTGTTCATCTCATTAATAGCTGGGTTTTTTGAGGAGTTGGGGAATAAATGAGCACTTAAACACAGCTTAAGTTAAGTCCAAGTGCAAAAAAGCAGCTCCTAAGGAATACCAAAGGGATACTTGGTTCATCTGAGTGTAACTGCTGTTCCCAGAATTTTAATATCTATTGAATCAAAAAATATTTCAACTGGCAATACGTACATTATGAATTCTGTACTGAATTGGTATTTAAACTCCAGTTTCTCATTTAACTGTGAAACACAGATAACCTTGATTATAAATGGGATGTTTTTATTCTTTAAGGACTCCTAGGAGTGCTTAAATTTGATTGTTTTCTTGTACACTTTTCAAAATAAGCTTTAACTTGCACAGTTTATATACTTTAATCCTTAACACAGTTTCTCCTGTTGCCTTTTCTGTAGGATTGTGGAAAAGGGTTATTACAGTGAACGAGATGCTGCTGATGCTGTTAAACAAATCCTGGAGGCAGTTGCTGTGAGTATTGTCTAGCATCATATGCTCAGCACCTAATCTTTCACCTAAAATAGCTCAATGAATACACAGTTGTGAAAGAAGCAGAGAAGTTCACTAAAGAATAGTTTGCACAATTTGCCTTCAATAATTACTTTTTATATTGATTTTTTTGTTAGGATACTGATGCTGTGAAGGGGAAAAAGTGACCTTGGATGGCAGTCAGCAATAGAGTTAGGGCTCATCTTTTGGAGCTGAGTGAATGTTCTTTGCCTCTATTTAGTTTCAAAAACCTTTGGAGTTCTGCACTGGTATGTGAGCTCCAAAAGCAATTTGAAATCATTGGCACTTATCTAGTCTCCCATTCATTTTTGGATGAGTAGATAGCAGTAGTTTGCATGGAATCTTAAACAAAAGAGAGTACATTACTCTCCCTCTCACCTTAAATGGATGATAGATTGATTGAATGTGTTAGGTGGTAAAGAGTTAGGTTACATGAATTCAAGTTAGAGATTCATGCAGAGTATTACCATGAAAATAGTTATGCTTGATTTGAAGTTGTTGCCTGGAAATGAACATTCACACTTTTTGATGCTATGCAGAAGCATTCAGAGAAACAGTCTTCAAGGAAACATAGCAAGAAAGTGCGCTCCTGAGGAGATGGATAGTATAGATTACAAAGTATCCAATCAAAAATAGTTTTCAGAGCTCCTTAAATTAGATATGCTCAGATTTGCAGTAATATTGTTAAATTTGTGATCAGTAGGTTGTGCAGTGCCTAATGTAACCTCTTCCTTTCCATTGTGTGTGATTTTTAAAAATTTCAAGTTTTGTAGAATTGTTTCACATTCAAAAAAGAGAGATAACAGTCTTCCATGGCACAGCACAACTTAGAGAAAAGTTTAAATGTCTTTGAGGCAACGAGGCAAAGTCTTCTAAGAGCTACACTTCATACTACTGTATGTTATCAATATTTCTTAACCGCTTTTAACTGTCCCATCCGATTTCACAGCAGAGTTTCCTAGGCCAGCAGTCAGATGCTAAAAATGTGCATAAGAAATTAATTAGTGTACACACTAGCATCAGTCACTTCCAGTGAGCAAGAGATGGACAATGAAAAACTGGCCAATTAGGATACTCAGAAGACTTGAGGCGAATTGCTCTGCTTTCTGCAAATGCAATATTAGCTAAGTAGAAGGAGAGATACAGGCTAAAGGTTTTGTCCGGTCGTTTAACTTTAGAGTCAGTTAATATATTTTGATTTAGAATCATAAAATCATAGAATGATAGAATGCTTAAGGTTGGAAGGGACCTCAGAGCTCATCTAGTCCAACCCCCCTGCTCACGCAGGGTCACCTAGAGCACGGGGCACAGGGCTGCATCCAAGCGGGTTTTAAAGATCTCCAAAGAAGGAGACTCCACAACCTCTCTGGGCAGCCTGTGCCAGGGCTCTGGCACCCTCACTGTCAAGAAGTGTTTCCTTAAGTTCCTGTGGAACTTTTGGTGCCTCAGCTTGTGGCCATTTCCTCTAGTCCTGTCACTGGCCACCACTGAAAAGAGGCCGCCCCCTCCTCCTCACTGCCTCCCTTGAGGTATTTATAGACACTGACCAGGTCCCCCCTCAGCCTTCTCTTCTCCAGACTGAACAGGCCCAGCTCCCTCACCCTTTGCTCATAGGGCAGATGTTCCAGGCCCCTGATCATCCTGGTAGCCCTGCGCTGGACTCTCTCCAGCAGCTCCACATCCCTCTTGCACTGGGGAGCCCAGAACTGGACACAGTCTCCAGATATGGCCTCACCAGGGCTGTGTACAGGGGGATGATCACTTCCCTCGACCTGCTGGAGACGCTCTTCTTAATGCACCCCAGGATCCCGTTGGCCTTCTTGGCCACCAGGGCACACTGCTGCCTCATGGTCATCTTGTCATCCACCACAACGCCCAGGTCCCTCTCTGCAGGGCTGCTCTCCAGCAGGTCCACCCCTAATCTGTACTGGTATCCAGGGTTATTATTTATTTATGTAGTATTTATGTAGTGTGGTTGTCTACAGCAGATGTTTGGAGTGAAGTGGTTAAGTAGGCAACAGGTTGTGAAGGCCTTGTGAAGGGGTAGCTAAAAGCACTCGTAGGAGTGCAGACAGTGCAGGCAGGAAGCCAAGGAACTTTGGTTGTTCTCCAAGAATACCTGACTCTTCAAACAAGCTCCCATTGTCAATATCTTGGAGAAGAGAGGTCACTTGGAATGGCTTTTTCGCAGTATAGTGATGAGCCAAGCAGGATCTGTACAGATTGGACAGGGAAGTGCAGAATGTGAAAGGAACTGTCTTGAATATAGGATTGGGGGCAATGAGTACCCTCCATTGGAGCTACCCCATGGTGAGGAAAAGTTGATGTTGAGTATGTATGTATATAGAGTTATAGAGTTGATAGGAAGGCTGTATAGGGAGTGACAATGTGTTTATTCAGAGAGAAAAGACCAATTCCATTGTAGTTACCTGAGATGGGAATGAACTATCTCATTGTGGAAAACTTCTCTAAAAATCATGTTTGATGTTGTCTGTAAGCCCGTTCACCATAATTTAGAAACAAGAACAAGTATTTACTGCAGCAATGTGACACATTACAAGACCATCATGTTAGCTTCATGCTGCTTTCTGAATTATCCTGACTGCATACTGAGTCACCCACATGCAAAGTATGTATTTAAATTTGGTGCACAGCATAATGAATTTGTATAAGCTTCTTAAGTTTAGATCAGATTATTATTTTATGGCCAAATGGTTCTTCCAGTAGGACTGCACCAATTAAGATGGTTCCAAATTATTTACCATTCTTTTGCAAAAATTATACATTGCTGAAAAACGTTTCAGCTCTTTATTTTTAAAAACAGGAACCAGGTAAGATCTTCGGCTTCTAAGAAATGCAGTAGCTTTGTTCAAGTCAACAGAACAGAGGTGGAGAAAGGTGAAAAGCTTACTTTTTGTAAGAGCATAGAGTAGTTTAATTTTGGACTATTATATATGCCAGTACTTGATCACTAAGTAGAAGTGCTATAAACTTGTGTTCTTATGGCTGACACTGAACATCCGTGCCATAGCTGTGAAAACTGTGGTCATGGCTGCTCCCAAATTGGGATTTTGCCAGCTGTGTGAGTATTTCAATTCCAACAGAAATACTGTGGCAGAATGGGTTTTGTGGATAGCATTGGACTTACCTCTAGAAACTGTCTCTAGGTACTGCAGAACAATCTTTCCAGAATGAAAGAAAATATATCTGTAGACAATTCTTAAATAATACATTTCACTCAGAAGTCTATGCCAGCTAGTACCTTATTGACTTTAGGTAGATATTTTTGACTTTACAAAAAGCAAAGCGTTCAGCCTTAATTTTCTTAAACTCCTGTGCTGATCTATCTACTTGTTTTATAAAGTCCTCATTAAGGACTCTTATAAATTTGTAGTAATGGATCTGTCTTTTCAATATATTATTGACATGGAAAGCTATTATGTCTTTATTTAATAGAGGGCTAGATTTTCAAGGAGGATATAATCAAAAGTGTAAGAAAATCAAAAGTGTAAAGAAATCAAAAGTGTATATCCTTAAAAGGATATAATCAAAAGTGTAGTGCATTTTTCAAAAATTCTTAAGCATTTTTGCTTAATTCCCTTTGAAATTATTAAACTGAATGGACCTCTATTCTTTTTAAAAAAATCACATAGAGCTTCTAGCTATTTCTGTTTCTTGTCAAACCCAACTACCAAGCTATGACTGGCCTATTGAAATTAGAGAAGACGACAGAGAGCAGCACAAAATGAATCATGATCATAGAACAGCATGGAAATTATAGAAATGTTTCTTCCCAAGAGGAAAGAGACCAACAAACACTATACTGTCACTGCTGCCTGGAAACCACAGAATGCATTTTGCTTTTTTTATGATTTTCCATGATTTTTCTTTTTCTAGGTTGTTGCATCTTATCTATTGTTCTAGGTCCATGCTCTAACACAGCATGGTCTGATCTAACAGTTTGCTCTGAGAAGAAATTACCCTTTTTTCTCTCTCTCCCACACCTTCGCTTTTTCTCTTTTTCTTCCCTTTTCTTTAACCAAAGAGACTGCTTCATTCACACAATAAAAGCTTTGCTCAAAACTAGGGCAAACCAACATTCATCTTTTAAGCTCTTTGGCTGCGCATTTCAGGCAGAGGTTTTATTCCTATCCAATCTCAGAACAGAATGAATTTCATTCTTTAAAGGAGATGTATTTGAAGACAGTTTCACTCAGGATATCATTGTCCTTTCCCACTTTCTCAGAGGATAAGATATATACAGAAAGATCTTTTTTTTTTCCCTGTGGGTTTCAGCAGGCATATATCCCAGGGTCTGATCTCACTGTCTGACTTGCAGGAGATATTACTTATGTTTGTAAAATTAAAACATTACTGAGCTGTTAGTCAAAAGAAGACAATGAAACATTTGTTTCTAAAGGACATGCTCCTTTTTAACTTTTGTAACTAATTTACTTTTTTGATTAAACTTAAGAAAATTATTCTAATTTCTTTTAATGCGTACTTTCAAAATCCTGTGTTTATCGTTAATAATAAACCACAGTCCTTCTTGCCTAGTCTGCACTAGTGTCAAAGTGGTAATTTTCTACTTGAGAGTTAAATTATTCTTTCTGTTATATTTAAATTTGAAATTATTTTTAATGATTTACCTTTTGTAATTAAGGCAGTTAATGACATATCCTTTATATTTATTTTCAAAGTCATTTACTTTAATTTCCCATCACATTTTATGAAAGGTTGTTTTCTTCTGATTGGCTATTATCTTGTCTAGATAGGAACATTTTTCTGAAGCTACATGCAGGCCCCTCTCCGTTTCCATTTCTGCTTTTTTTTCCTGCCATTTCAAACTCCATTGTATGCCTGCACTTTTATATTATTCCTTGTCAGCTTAAATTCGTAGGAAGTATGCTGAATTCTCAACTGTCATGACAAAGACTGAGGATACTTGCAGGTTTGAGAGT